TTAATTTCTCTGTCAAATCTGAATGAGATTCTTACTGGGTAGAGTAACCTTGGTTGTTAATTTCATTTATTGTGTTGTTCATCATTGTTTGTTTGCTTTTATCTCTTCTAGGTCCTTGTTAAACGTTTCTTGTATTTTCTCCATTCTATTTCCAAGATTTTGGATCATGTTTACTATCATTACTCTGAATTCCTTTTCAGGTAGATCGTGTATTTCCTCTTCATTTGTTTGGTCTGGTGGATTTTTACCTTGCTCCTTCATCTGCTGTGCATTTCTCTGTCTTCTCATTTTGCTTATCTTACCGTGTTTGGGATCTCCTTTTTGCAGGCTGCAGGTTCGTAGTTCCCGTTGTTTTTGGTGTCTGCCCCCAGTGGCTAAGGTTGGTTCAGTGGGTTGTGTAGGCCTCCTGGTGGAGGGAACTAGTGCCTGTGTTCTGGTGGATGACACTGGATCTTGTCTTTCTGGTGGGCAGGACCACATCCCGTGGTGTGTTTGGGGTGTCTGTGACCTTATTATGATTTTAGGCAGCCTCTCTGCTAATTTTAGGCAGCCTCTCTGTGGGGTTGTGTTCCTGTGTTGCTAGTTGTTTGGCATAATGTGTCCAGCACTGTAGCTTGCTGGTTGTTGAGTGGAGCTAGGTCTTAGCGTTGAGATGGAGATCTCTGGGAGAGCTTTCGCCGTTTGATATTATGTGGAGCCAGGGGGTCTCTGGTGGACCAATGTCCTGACCTCGGCTCTCCCACCTCAGAGGCGCAGGCCTGACATCCGGCCCAAGCACCAAGACCCTGTCAGCCACACGGCCTTACTACATGTGATATACTCTGATTTTTTTCTATTCTTCCACCCTCATGATTGATAACGTTTGGGGGAAAGAATGATATTCTGTTCAAAAATCAAGTCTAAAGCTTATCCACGCATTGATTTCTCAATCCAGGATCTTGATAAATAACCACCAAGTCTTTAAAATCTTTGATAGGTCTGTCTCACTGAATGGTCTTGATCTCATTACTTCCTTTTTTGAGCTAATGGTTGAAAATGGGGGTAGCTTGTAAAACTGGTAAAATATTGGCTTTGATGCTTCCTTATCAACATATATACTCTACATGAAGATTCTTGGGGAAACAGAAGGCTGCTGGGTACTGGTTCAGACAGGTAACAGTGCCTTAGAAAGTGACGGAATGACTGCAGGCACTGAGAGTGAGATCACACAACAAGTTTGTGCTGCCTCCTGATGGCACCTGATTCACAGGTGCTCAATAAATGGCCATTACTTTCACTAGTCCGTAAACTCACTGGGTGCTCCTGGGTTTCTTTCTTGAACAGCCACAACAGAGGTCTGTCTGCACGCTCTGCATTCTTCACACAACCAGAGAAGCAGGGTGACTGCACCCCCTGTGCCACATCCACGTGGCAATCTACATCCTTTAGACCCCCCTAGCCCCACCCAGAGACCTTCCATAAGGCTCTAACCCAGGCCTTAGCCGGGCCCTGAGAGACAAGGCTGTGAGGGTGCCCACCTGGAGTAGAAGCTCAGATTGGGCACTGCGCTTTCTGGGACTCAGGCAGCCGTTGTCCTCGGGCTGGAGGAACTGCGCGCAGCTTGATTCACTTTGTTATACAACAGAAACTAACAAAACATTGTAAAGCAATTATACTCCAATAAAGATGTTAAAAAAAAAAAAAGAAAGTGTTGTTTTGAATAGAAGAATGGGGCAGTAATTAGAGGGGGATGGGACCATCAAAGGCACTTCTTTTTTTGAGACTGAAACTATTAGAGCATATCTGTATGCTGATGGAACTGATCCAGTATTGAGGGAGAAATTAATGACGCCAGAGAAAGGAGTAACTGAGGAGCAAAATTCTAGAGAAAAGGAAATGGCATAGGAACCAGAGCAAGTATGTAAGGAGTGGCCTTTTATGGGAGCAGAGATACTTTATAGATTTTAAAAGAAGATTTTTAAAAGCATATGTGGGGGCTTCCCTGGTGGTGCAGTGGTTGAGAGTCCGCCTGCCGATGCAGGGGACACGGGTTCATGCCCTGGTCTGGGAAGATCCCACATGCCGCGGAGCGGCTGGGCCCGTGAGCCAGGGCTGCTGAGCCTGCGTGTCCGGAGCCTGTGCTCTGCAACAGGAGAGACCACAACAGTGAGAGGCCTGCGTACCGCAAAAAAAAAAAAAAAAAAAAAAAAAAAAAGCATATGTGTACAGACATGGAGAGATGAGAAAACTTCATGTCTGATTGCTTCTGTTATCTCTGGTTCAGGAACTGAAGGCAGTGAGCCCACTCCTCTTAAATTCCTACAATCCCTGTCGAGGCCCTCCCCAGAGGAGCAGGCCTTGTGACCAGTAAGGAACTCTCAGAGTAATCAAGGGAAGCACGAATGCACTTGCTCTAGTGTCTGACCCAATAAGGCTTCTCAGTGCAGTGTTTTTCAAAATGTGGTCTCTGGAACCGTGGCATCAGCATCCCCAGGGAATTGGTTAGAAATGCAAATTATCAGGCCCTACTCCAACCTATGTAATCAGAAACTCTGGGGACAGGGCCCAGCAATCTGTTTAAACAAGTACTCCAGGTGATTTTGAGAAGTTTGGGAACCAGTCTTTGAAGAATGCTGAGAATTTCTTGCAAGGTTGATATAGCAATTTCATAGATATGAAAATATCACAATCAAGAGCTTTTCATAATGAACCGAAGTATATGACAAAAGCATTAAAAGCACTGGGATCTAGCTCTGCTTACTTCCTCTTACCTACCTTTGCTCCCAAGGCCAAGCCCAAATCCACAAAACAATCCCATGATTGTCACAGAAATTATTCCCAAGAGATTCAGGCCTCAGATGAAACTGACTCTGAAGGCTAATTTCAAATTCTTAAGAAACATGCACTTTGGGGGAAAATAGTACATAACAAGGTGAAATTGAGGGAGATGTTACAGAAGGATGTTTGATTTGGATTCAGACAGATTGGGGTTCTGGTGTTAGAGCCATCACTTACTAGTGTGTGACCTTGAACAAGTAACTTTTTGGAGCTCATTTGTCTCCCCTAAGCTGATATGTTACCCTAGAAGGAAGTCCATGCCTACAATTCCTTCTGAGGAAAGAGCGTAAGAAGCTGTTCCCAACTCGCCATGCATTGTGACCCTGGTCACAACTGGTTGGACCAGTAACTTTAGACTAATAGTTCAACATTCCTGTACTTCAGAAAGTGTGATTGTGTCAGAGAGACAGTTTTCTATAATTCTTTGTTTTATTCTGTATCCAGAAGTAACCAGAGCTGTCTCTGTTTCTTTGCAACACACACACAATTACCTCACACGTTTGTTATGAGAATTACATGAAACAATGTGTGTACAATCTTTAACACAGAGTCTGGTACATAATGTTCAATAATGTAGCTCTTCATTATTAATGAGAATTCCAAAGCCATTAGTGCCCCAGGTGATATCAAGAAGCCTTAGCACCCAAATCAAAATCCCACACTCAGTAGCCCCAAAGTAACCAAGTATAGTCCCAGAGTCACTAAGCCTCATTCCCCATGGCTTTTAGCCCTACGACTATAATGTATATGCTTCAGGGGAATTCACTAAAATCCTAAACTTTAGTGGTTTTTTTTTTTTTTTTTTTTTT